CCCCCCAATCCACCTCCTTACCCCACCCTCCCCCTCCTCGCCCACTACCCCCCCCCCCCCCCCCCGGAAAAATAAAAACTTAAGTGGTAGCTTTTTACCTCTATAAATTCAAGCTTGCACCTTTCACTTCCCCTTCATGTCCTGTCCTTCTATCTTTTATCAACCGCATTGCTCTTTGTCGCGCTACTTTCATTAGCAATCGTGTTAAGTAGAGATTTGAATAAAAACTCTATTTTACGTTGTATTTACAAACACACATAGCTCTCACGAGTTAAAACTTTTTTGATCCTCATTTTGAGCATATTAAAATTTCTTCACACTTAAAATTGCATTCTTCAAATAAAATACCAGAAGAATTCCTCTATCTCTTCCCCTGTTTTTGTTCTGTTTTTAATTGTAATTCTGTTCCAAAACAATAGCAAAATGTCTCCTTCTATCTCAAACTTTTCTCCACAAGAACTAATAGAAGAAAATGAAAATGTGAGTAACTGGAGTTTCATGCAAATCCTCAACAACTCTCATTCATACCAAAAAAATCGAGCCGATACAGAGGAGGAAATCTACGTTCACCCTTCGACGAAGCAATCTTCTTCTTCTTCTTCTTCTTCTTCTTCCATTATGAACACAAGAAGCTTGGAGATGTGCACAGAGATATTAGGAAGCGAGACGGGTAACAATTATATCAGTGAAAGCAATATGGATGAATTCTTTTCTGACATTTCTCGTGGCGTTCAACGATCAAAATGTCGAGAATTCAAGAAAAGAATCAAAAGGATAGTAACTTTTCCACCTCCTCTTACTTCAATCAATGGAATGGACAAAGTTCAAGTAAGATCTTCTCGCGAAGGGGGTCACTTAGTTTTAAGGGCTGTAAGTATAAGTACTTGCAGCCCTTATTTTCATGCCGAGCGTGGCACGCTCAGGCTTTCTTGGTTAATAGATAGTAATAATAATGAGATGGAAGTTGAACAAGATGCTGAAGTTCAAAATGGTGAAGAAGCCGAAGCCGAAGCCGAAGCCGAAGCCAAAGTCATTGAACATGAAAATGGTGATGATTATTGGCCAAAGAATGGTAGAAGAAGATTAGCCAAGAGGTGTAAGGAAAGTGGGAGTAGAAACAAAGGGATACAAAACTGGGGGCAATTTTTGGGTGGTCAGTTCCTAAAGGATTTACGTTTATGTGCGCTGACACTGTAATGAATTTTTACGTTATCAGTACATTTTAATCTACTATAGTAAGTAAGCTGCTTTATTTTCTAGTTACTAATCTCACTTTGTATGGCGATTATCTGTAGTTATCATTTATGTGACCTGATAGCGTAAAATTCTTCTTACTTATCAGTGTATAGACGTTAAATTATTCATAAAAAGCCAAATGCTTTCTTTTGGAAATTTGGCAGTTGGATCTACACCTCTCTTACCCCATTTTGGTAATATACAGCAGCAACAACAACAATAACAACAACAACAACAATAATAAATTCACTATAATCAGATAGTAAAGCTATTTCTGAAAGACCCTCGGTTTTTTCCCATTTTGCTACTACAGTTAGACCTCTTTATAAAGATATCCCTATATAACAACACTTCACTATAAAAGCCAAGTTTTTCCGGAACCAATTTTCATGTTATAATATATGTTCTATATAACAGCACTTTGCTATAAGATCCAAAAATATTCGGAATAAATGAGATTGTTATAGAGAAGTTTGACTGTATATGTTTATTAATTCTGTTGTTCTCTGATTTTTTTGTACATGGAGTAGTTATTATGGTTATCACAGTATGATTCAACTATGCTAAGATTCTTTTTTCTAGTTGTTTATTTTGCCTTATTCTTCACTGGAATGTAAGGATAACCTTTCAACTTTTCATTGGACAGGAATTACAACTATTGGTACAACTTGATGTATGACTCATCACCAATTCAATAATTTTTTTTTGTCTCCTCACATGCATGAGCAATGAGCCATTCACAAATATAAGCACGAGTTTAACTTTTGTGTACACCGTAGTGAATTTTTTTTTTACACAATCAGATCGTTTAAACAAGGGAGAAATTTAAAAATAGCCAGATTTATAACTGGTCGTTCAAAAATAGCCCAGTTTTAAAAGTAATCGAAATTTAGCCACTTTTCATGTAAAGATAAATCTGAGCGAAAACACTGTTCAAAACCCAAAAAAAATACGCCAGTATATTATGCTGGAGATCCAGCATAAGTATACTTGAACTCCAGCATATTATACTGGAGTTCCAAGATAAGTATGCTGGAACTCCAGCATAATATGTTGGAGTTCCAGCATAACTACACTAGAACTCCAGCATAATATACTGGAGTTCCAGCAAGTATACCGGTCCAGCATAATATACTGGAGTTTGGAGCACCGGTGCTCCAGTCTCCAGTATATTATACTGGAGCCAGCAAAGTATACCGGTCCAACATAATATGCTGGAGTTCATACACAGGTGCACCGAACTCCAGTATATTATGCTGGTCCGGTCTCTGCTGCAGCAAAATAGTGGCTATTTTTTATTAACTTGGTAAACGCTGGCTATTTTTGAATAACCAGTCCGAAAACTAGCTATACCGTGCTATTTTGACTTTAAAAAATGACTAACAAAGTATAAGTAAATACCGTCTATAAACAGTGAGACTAGTAACCAGAATAATAAGGTCAGTTATACACTACAATAGATCAAAATATATTGATTGCGTAAATTAATTTTATACTATTAGTATGTACTGTAAGTTAAATCTCTGCCAAAACATAAATAGAAATGAGCAAAATGTGCTCATGCTTCATGCAGTACCAGGTGTACATATGACTGGTAACTGTCATTGCCTAGACCACTTGACGTCTAACATCAAAAGATAATGGGAAAACATCACATGTCCACTGGCGAAGCTAAGCATGCGACCAAGTGGATTCAAAATGTAAATAAATAAATAAAGAATTCAACATTTACTATATACATAAAGTATATTGGATATTGTTTGACAAAAAAATATAAATCTTGGTTTAAATAATTAAATTTATGTGAATACGAGTTAATTTTAGCTAACAATAACATTCTTAGAAGGGGTTTTGAAATAAGTAATAACTATTTTGTAGATCTGGTCGAACAGTGGTAATTCGTATAATAAGTATTCTAGAAATCAGGAGCAATAATGTATCATTCATTAATAATGAACATCAATAAATGACATTTAAGTAAATAAGAGGAATGATTCACCCAATAAAGAAGAGAATAAGTGGATCTTCCTCTTGACAGTGAATGATAGACAGATTCTTGAATATTTGAGTTATTCTTGGATCTGATGGGAAAGTATCAACAAGAATCTTAGAGAAAATGTGATGTTTGTATGCTAGCAAGTGAGAGCCGAACCTTTTAGTCAAAGCCTATTCTTTACAACGAATCTCATGTGTCCCATATCATTCTCTCTTTTTCTATTTATATGGGACCTATTACTAGGAAATCCTAATAGTACAAGCGCAAAGAATATCCACTAGAATATTCTCTTTAGTATCATGTCTTGAAAAACTAGTTGTTACAGCTTGACTAGTTTTTCAATTAGTCAACTAGATGTAATAGACTAGCAGTAGTAACAAAAGAATATAAGATGCCGAATTAAATGCAGGAATTAAAGACACCACAATTTTTATACTGGTTCAGATTCAATGTGAATCCTAGTCCAGTCCCCTTGGGTTGCAAGGGAGTTCTCTTTAGTGAATGAGTTTCTTCGAGTACAAGGAGAATGATGTGATAACTCACTTCCTATATCACTCCTCTCTTTTGATACAATGCCTCACCAGTGTTGTTCTCTCTTTTTTTTCTCTAACTTGTTACACAGCAGGTCTTAGAGAGCTACAATGTTTGTTTGCAGTAGAACAAGGAGAGGGTATTTGGTTCGATCAAAGTATGTTTTGCTAAGGTGTGATTACAGGTTTAAATACTTTGAGAGAGGCTTGAATTCTGGAAAGATTTGCCAACCCAAGATATTTGATCCTTGGAAAGAGATTGATTCTTTCCAAGAATAAGGATGTTCTGCAACGGACCGAAATCTTGATCCTCCATATTTAGACACTTGATTGAATATTCAGCGAGATCTTGATTTATTTGTTTCCTTTAGTTTAGCCTTGATTGATCTCGTCATTATCTTCATGATTGATTGCTTCTTCCTTTAATCGCACCTCCTTTCCTTGATGACTTCTGATTGATTTCGCCAATCTTGACAGCTACCCAAAAGTTCCTATACAAAGAGCAAATATATTATTTCATCATTAAAATTAGATCTAACAATCTCCCCGATGACAAAATAATATATGTATAAACATCAGTTGACTTCCCTGTAGTTTGCTCCCCCTCAATACGAGCAGTTAGCTGGAGCCGCATGTAGTCGACTTCTTCAGGAAAACTTGTTCCCCCTTAATAGGAGCAGAACCTGCACAGAATACATATATCCTTTCTCCCCCTTTTTGACATCAGCAAAGAGGGAATAACAAAACAACATGCACAAACATAATCCATAGCAGAATGTTCAGGTAGAGTTAGAACATAACAAAAACAAAAATATCCACCGACTAACATCGCAGTCCAAAAACAGCACAACAAAAAAAATTATCTTAAACTTCCACACTAACGACGCAGAAAATAGGTAAGAGTGTTGCAGACGGCCTCCTTTAGTCGATCAAAGCTGGCATTGGCTGAGACACTCATTCCATCAAGCCTGTCATGAACCTCCTTGAAAGCCTTGACAGCGTTTTCCCTTACTTTGAGAACTGCAACTCGTATCTTGGAGACATCAGACCCTGTTTCCTTGGTGATATCATGAATGGTGCCAACATTACTCTGGGTGGCAATGAGAAATCCTTGATTGCAGAGAGCTGATTCCCAATGGAGCTAATTTTCTTAGCAAGGTCAGAGTCACTAAGGCTAGGATGGGAAGCAGAAGGTTTGGGCTTGGAGTCTGTAGGAGCAGTCTTGACATCACATTCTTGTTTCTTGACCCATGAGCCCTTCACATACACATACCCCATACTTGCAAAGGCTCTGGAGTCGTATGATTTTGAAACAATGGTAAAGGAGTACACAGAGATAGAAATATTATGAGCTTCCAGAATGTGGGTGATGGCCATTCCATAGGGTAGACTAGTGGGATCTTCTGCACTTTCAATCATGAAATTGATGACCCAGGAGGACAGTTTGATTTTGAGTTTGGTCACAAGGCAATAGACCAGAAAAGTGTCTTGTAGAGAAAATGTGGAAAAGGAGCCAGTACGAGGAAGCAGAGTAGTTGCCACAATGTGGGCTAGAACACGAGCTTCAAAACTAACATCACTAGGGCCAAGCTGGTTTGGAAGGGACTCAGATGGACACTTAGCAATACATTTTTTGGCTTGATCAAAGGAAATTTCAAAATCATGGCCATGAATTTTTAAAGAGCATAGGGAAACCAGAACACTTGCACTGCAAAATCGAATCAAACACGGAACAGTCAAGAACAATACGCTTTCCTAGTACTAAGGTCTCCAACTTATCAGACCTACTAGAATGAAGATTTGCATAGAACATTCTCACTAAGGGTTCATAGACTTTAGGCGGGGGAACAGAAAAGAACTTGGAGCATCCTTGAAAAACGAAAAGGTCCTTTACATTACTTTAGGGCTTCCATGTCATCAAGGTCGACTACCCTCCCATGAGCAATAGGCTTGTCTTTTAGGGCAAGAAAAAAGTCCCTATTAGGAGAATCCCAAAAATTGAGTTCCGACTCAAGAGAACCGGAAAGGTCAACTTTTGATTTCTTTGGAGTGGAGGAGACAAGGGATTCTTCCATGGGTATTTTACCCAGGGCTTTTTCTCCTAAGGGTTGAGAATGATCAGAGAAATCCGCCTGAGAAGAGGCAAACCCCTCAGAGTGATCGGACCCTAGGTCTACCTGTTCAGGGGGCTGAGAAGAGGGTTTTCCCTTGGAGCGAGTGCTCTTTCTAGTGGAGGCAGATGGATTTTGTATGTTAGCACTGTAGAGTTGTGTTGAGCACGATTCAGAGAGGGTATGAAGGCGATTAGAGACAATGGAGATTTGCTACAAGAAGATAACATAAAGGGTTTTCTGACGGTTGAGTATAAGAAAAGAAAAAGGCGTTAGTGATCAGTCCGTATGATTGGTTTCCTTCTCTGAACTCTGTGACTGATG